GAGAGAGAGAGAGAGAGAGAGAGAGAGAGAGAGAGAGAGAGAGAGAGTTAGAGGCCAGTAGTCAATGCTGAACATCTTCCTCCATTGAACGCTGCCTTTTCTTTGGAGACAGGATTTCTCATTGAACCTGGAGCTCATCAATTTCCCTAGATTGACTAGCCAGTGAGCTCCAGTGATTCACCTGTTTCTACCTCAACCCCCACCCCCAGAACTGGTCTTATGTGTGCTTGTCTGTGCTTGTCTGTGCGTTGGAGATCTAAATTCAGTTCCTCATTCTTATTCAGCAAGCGCTTTACTAACTGAACCATTGCCCTAGCCCCAGATATCAATAGTTTTATTTTACATTGCCCTTTAAGTATCACTGAATGTCACAGTGGAAACAGAAATAATATATATCACATCATAACACTTTTGAGTTTATGGTTATATTAGGTTATAGTAAGCAAGTGTATAAGTAGAGATTGTTTAGCCTCTTTCCCATTTATTTTCACTATATCCCCTTAAAATTTATTGATAGCACTTAATGCCTTTGCCAGTGTGTTTAATATATAATATGTCATGTTGCTCTCTCTGCCCATGTATTTGCTTTTTTAAATGTTCTAGTTACTATCCATTAAACTCTAGTTATTATCCACTGACTAGTTGATACCTTTATTTGGATGTTGTCATGGAGAATAAGTAACAGATGACTCAACGGTTATGTATGTCACTTAGAGAAAACTAAACTCAACACCTACCATATCACAGGGTTTGTTAGAAAAATAGCAGAAATAGAAGCTTCATTCACTTGGATTTTCAGTTGCACCCCACAAGTTTAGGTCATCAGAGTCTCCCAAGTCACTCACCAACCCCAGTGTCATTAGCTTCTCTCAAAACTGGGAGTGCAAACGAGCCATGTGAGACCAGGATTGCCTCTTGGGGTTCGGATTTCGTTAATTCTTGCCAGTGTGCCCTGTGAAAGAGCAGCAGCCACAGTTCAGGACATGGTGTGACTTCCACCGTGGAGGGTCTGAGGCTTGGCGGAGGGACGCGGCGCTCCATGCGGTTCTGCCTTGTCTCTCCATGGACTGTCTATTACTGAAAACTTAGAAGGCAAGTGAGGGAGTTTCAGAAAGACACTAAGGGGCTGACTAGAGATGCTGACTGAAAGCCAGAAACTGCAGCTCATTGGGACATAGTCGGGGAGGAGAAAAACACGAACAAAATAGGTATTAGAGTATGTTAGCAAGATCCAAGAAAAGTAGGTGAGGCAGACTCTCTCTGGTGCTGTGATGTGCCATTTGAACCGCTTTGGAGGGTCACACAAAGAGAGAGGTTGGCTAGGACATGATCTGAGAAGCAGGAATTTTGTTTGTCAAAGGAAGTAACTTTGGCTTATAGAGGAAGGAGCAGAGACTCTTCAGTAGAGGGGCATTTTCGTCTGTAATTTCTCTGATTTAGTGCCAGAAGTGTTTTAAAAAGACTAATCAAAGCTGTTTCTATCTAAGTTACACTCTGGGAGACCAACAGCTGATACATTTTGTTTTTCTTTGCTATATTTCTCATTAATGATTCTTAAATTTTTTCTGTTCTCTCAACTCTGTTGCTAAATCCCTTAAGATTCAAGTGTGTTTAAAGTAAAAGCATTATGAGACAAACGTTGTATTCTGTGGGTAGGATAATACTTCTTTTGTGACATTCTCTTTTCCCACCAAAAGTGAGAAGTGAATGCCTTGCCTTTGTGCATCCCATTTCAAATGGAGGACAAGAAGTTATTCTCTGCAATGGCTGACTTCCAGAATTTTTGCCTGAATATTTTTTGTCAAGTATATATTCCCTTCTTTAGGCCTTTCTATATAGAGCCTACAAACATCGTCAATGTGAATGATGTCATTCAGAGGGTTAGTGACCATGCCTCTGCTATGAACAAGCGGATTCATTACTACAGCCGGCTCAGCACTCCTGCAGACAAGGCACTGGTAAGAGGCAAAGCTCTGCTGCTTGTCCAGAGTAGAGCTGAAGTGAACAGTAAACACCAAAGCCCAGGGCAACTCCCAGGGGTTGAACTTTTCGCTGGGGGTATTCCAAAGATAGCATCATGCAAAGTCTAAGTAGTAGTTAATCTGAGTTTCAGGCTCATTCGTGCTTATCTACCCTGGCATAGACATGTTTGAAACTCTGTTGATAATAGCTTGGAGCATTTTCTTTATTTTTAATTTCTGCTTATCTCGGATACCAAGAGCTCTGAGGAAGATAAATTTCTTTTGAAACACCAGCTTAGATCATTGACTGAAAACACGAGATTCTGGCTAGTCTGTTTGATTTCTAAGTTTGAAGCTACAAGGAAAAATATTTACATACATTTTCTATAGGAGTTAAAAACAAATCTGCTCATATATATACATGATAGTTTTCTGTTTAGCATTTTCTTTCACAAATAAAAAATTAGCCTATGCAGACCATATACTATTACAGGTCATTGTTTTGTCTTATAAACATTGAAAAAAAATTTTAGGGAAGGGCTGTAAATACAATAATGGTAATTTGCATTAGGGACCATAGCTTATAAAGTCATGATTGTCAGAAGTCTGTCTTATTATTTTAGAATTTAAAAATATATAATTAATCTGTTGCTTATAACAGTGATCAGATGTGAAATACTGGGAAATTTAAAAGGTTAAAACATATGGTAAAAGTCAATCTTAGCAAAAATGAAGAAAACAATTGGCCTCTAGCCTTCACTAAATGTCTACCAAGGGCAAGGAATGGGTACCACCTGACCATGGCCTTCCGGTTTAACCCCCATAATGGCTATGTGAAGTAAGCATTAAGACCTCCTTGTCTTTGTTTGTTTGGCTAGCATCTCCTGGAGTCCAGGCTGACCTCCAACTCTACATGTCTAAGAGTGACCTTGAACTCCTTGTGTTCTCTCCTTGGTTTCCAGCCATGAACTACCACACCTGGCTCTAAAATCTCAAAAGAAGACTTCTAAAATGTTATGTGCAGAATAGTTTTTTACAATTTTTATTTTTTTTTATTCCCCCTCTGCCCACCCAGGACTTTACAGCAATATTGATGGTGGAGTCCATTATAGAATTACCTAAATCTGTATGGGATTTGAGGTTATGGTCTGACATTCTCTCCAAATGCTCTTCTCTTAGAAGCAGACTTCAGAGATATCACCTAGGGCTGAGTAAATATCACTTGCCTGGAAATCCAGTCAATGCTGTGCACTGAGTTGTAACCCTTTGTTAACTGACACTGAGGTGACTTTAGCACATCTACACGGTCACCAAAGTTAATGTGATCAATTCATTTCTAATGAATTTGTATAAATATACATTCATTTTCTGAAAAATCCCAAAATCATTTTCCCTAAAAGTATGTTTTGGAGAAGAACAATAAATCACTGTTACCAAATGTATATATACTTCATAAAAATATGTATACTTTTTCATTTATGAAAATTCCCATTATTGTTGTTCTAAACTGGAGAGGGGAGAAAGTTTTCTCCCAGCATCTCCTAGATCCTTGCTAATAAACACATGTATATATATACAGATCAGCATCGTCAGCGTCATTGAGAGCTTAGTAAAAAGGCACTCATTGTGTGGGGCTTAGTCAGAACCAGTGAAGCATAGTCCATATGTCAGCAAGATCCTTGTGTGTGTCCTCGGAACACTCAGATGACAGTACCACCCTAGACCATTGCCACAGTTTTCCCATGCCTCCTAAGAGCACCCCATCTTCCACGTCTTCCCATGCATAAACCAGACCCAGAGACTAAGCACAGGGCACAGGTTAGGTGAAGTGAACATGGAGTAGGTTTTTCGTCCCTTTTGTGTATATCAGTGTGAGAACACAACCAGAACTTTCTACCTATTGTTGGACCATGCTCCTTATAAGTTTTGGTTTTACTTGTTTTTCCCATCCATTTGCTTTATGAGCTCTAGCGTTTTTCTTCTTGACATGGCATAGTAGTGCACTTTTTTTCCCCCTTTTTACTCATGGCAGAAGACAAGCTAATCTTAGAGGAATGTAGGTGAGGAGAGACGTTTTCACATGTACATCTGTCTGTGTCTCTAGGAACTAGTTGTTTCCGAAGCCACACCGTGCATAGCATTTAGGGTATTCTCTCCTACAGAGACAGCACTATCTCACTGCATTGAAAGAGAAGGATGTGACATTGTGTGCTGATACTCTATGCCCTTTCTTCCTACTAAGGCCGACACTCCATCTCTTCCTTGGAGTCTTCCCCCAGCTGTTTGGGCTCTCATAGTTTAATCCAGTGAGATGGTACAGCGCAGAGTTGAACACTTCATTTTGTCATGCCTTCCAGTCTTGTCCAGTTGCTTCACATGTCCAACTGGAATTTGAGACAGTTTGAGGCTGTTACTTCCCTCTCAGATAAGAAACCTAGCACAAAGTTACAAATGTCTATGTAGGTGTTACATGTGAGAAGGTTCACACTAATTCACACTCGTCAGGTTCCATGCCTTTGAGAACTTCCTCTTCTCTAAGAACAGCCTTCAGGAGATGGGCAGTTTCATCAGAAAACAGGGTGGGTTTCCCCTCCAGAACAGAAAGGTGGGGTTAGAGGAACTGTAGAAGTGGTGTGAAAAGTGAGTGTGTAGGTACATCCTTTCGGTCTTCCTTGCTACACCTGCTGCTTCTCTGTCGCCTCCTTCCCTTTTGCTTGTCCACTTCAGTGTCCTCAGCTCCTAAAACCCCTGTTTTACCATTCATTAAGTTTCTTTACCTGTTTCTCTTACTCAGCACATTTAAAAATTAGTCTATGTACTATTTCTTTACTTACTCTCCATTGGTTCCTCAATTCCTTAGCCTGAGATTCCTGTCTATTTCTTCTAAAACCACCTTCACCTCAGAATTAAGTAACACCACTTAGTTCTTAAAAAGCTCCTCACTGAAGGACGGCCTCTCTGTGCTTTCATTTTGTTCTTTGCTTCCTTCTTTCTTGTGAATGTGAAAAGTACTTTGATGATAGACATTCTTGCTCCTTTACATCTACCACTATATTTGAGGAAAGTAACTTTTAATTCCTTAATCAGGGATGCAGAGTGTTCAATGTTCATGATACTTAGAAATATGTCCAAAATGTGTCTTAAAGATATGCATGCTGGAGGGTTTTATAATCCCAACACTCACATAGCAAAAACAGGAGAGGAGGACCACACATTTGAGACAGGTAGCGAGGGCAAAGGCCCAGATGTGCAATAGACAAGTTATCTCCCTGGCATCTGCCTAAGAGCAGCCCATCAGCCAGAGCCTCCCGGCTGTTTCAGTCCAACATCAATCCTATAAGTGTGTCTAGTCAGTTTCTTTGTAGAACGCATCCTTTTTGTACATTTACTGGTTCTGATGTTTCTCTTTTCTTTTCCCCCAGATTGCTCCAGACCACGTAGTCCCAGCTCTAGAGGAATGCTATGTGTACAGTCCACTGGGCTCTGCCTATAAACTCCAGAGTTACACTGAAGGCTACGGTAAAAACAGCAGCTTAGTGACGATGTGAGTAAAACTAACCTGTTTGTGAATGAAAATAACTGGTTAATCAGTTCTGACTTAATTAAAATGTTTGAGAAGCCCAACTTCATATTTTATTGCTATTATTTTTTCAGTTTTATGATCTGGAATACCATGATGGGAACATCTATACTAAGTATTCCTTGGGGCATAAAACAGGTAATATTGAGTACACTTTAATCTGAAAATTTTTTAAGATTTATTATTTTTTTTATTGTGTATATGGTGTGAGTCTCTATGTGGGTATGTGCATATAACTAACTGTCTGTGTCCGTGGAGGTCAGCGGTGTTGGATCCTCCTACAGCTGGAGTTACAGACAGTTGTGAGCCACTCAGTATGAGTGCTGGGAACCAGGCTCCAGCGCCCTGAAAGGCTGGTATGCATTCTTAACTGCTGAGCCATCTCTCCAACCCCTGAAATTTTTTCTGTATATGTAATCCAAACACTTAGATCAAGGCAACAGGATCATGAGTTCAAGACCAGTTTGGGCTACATATCAAATTTTAAGTCATCCTATTTTTATTCCATATGTCTCCAAAATAGATTAATAACTTTGAAATGTTTTACTTTATACTTTGCTTGGGCCTGGGAACATAGCTCAATGATAGCTCGCTTTCCTAGCTTACATGAGGTCCTGTGTCCAAATACTAACACTGTAAAAAAAATGACCACTATATTTGACGTTTCATTATTTATATAAAATTCTCTTTAAAAAGCAGAAGTTCTTTTCATTTCTCCATTGTCGTGTTTTTATCATAATTGTTTAGGATAACAATGTATTTGTATATGAAGTTATTCTTACATAATGAAAGGAACCTAACTTTTTTTTCAAAAGGCTGGATTTACTACTGGAATGTGTATCATTGTGCTGATGGGCCTTCTAACACTTTATTGCTGCTATAGAGTGGTGAAATCACGGAGTATGATATGTAAGTAACAATACGTTGCCCCGTGAATCAACAAACTTTTCTGTCGAGGCAGATCCTGCTGTGTATACTGTGTGACTGTGCGTGTCAGCTGTCTCCTTTCACTTTTTATTTCTGTGTGCGTACTTGTGCCACAATGCCCACATGGAGGTTAAAGGACAGCTTGAAGGTATCAGTTTTCTTCTCCCACCATGAATTCTCTGGGGTTAAATTCAGAGTTTCAGGGTCAGCGGCAGCTCCCTAACCTCCTGAACCATCTTGCTGGCACCAGCTCTGTTTCCTCTCGTAATTCCTAGCTTTCTGCTGACCAGTCTGATTATAAATTTCTGGCTCCCTCTGAAATTCAGAACTGGGAGTTCTTTGGAGAATAAATTAATGCTGATGTCCTTGTGAGAATAATGAAGGTGTCGCTTACAAAAATGATTACGTTTTTGTGTTCATGAGTGAGTATGGGCTTCAGGAGACTACTTGATGGAAGCAGTTTTCTCTCCTTCCACCATTGGGGGCCTGAAGATTAACTCAACCTTGGTGGCTAGTGCCTCTCCCTCTCCTTGGCCCAAAAATGTTATATTTTAAAAATAAAGCCTTTGTCATAATTATTAAGAACTTGTTTTGACCTATTCATAGCAGACCTAAAAACATGAAGTATCAACAGAAAAATATGAAAGTGTAAACAATTCTTAAAGTTGTATAAACTACTCATCTGTATAAATTCTGGATCAGGGAATCAGGAGGATAATCTTTTTGTTGTTGTTTTTAAGCTTGAAGTGGGGCCTTGTTGGTGCTAGGGCTGGTTGCAGTCTTGAGGAGAAATGACTTGTCACCCAGTCCACCCCCCCTTCATTCTCCCAAGCAGCCAGGACAGTCTATGCTGCTACACGGAAACATCTTTTTAAGTCGTTTTCACAGATTTTAAACTGAGTGTGGTGGTGCATGCCTATAATCTCAGAATCTGGGAGAGAGACAGGAGAATCAGAAGGCCCAGGTTATTCTCAGCTACGTAAGGAGTTCAAGGCCAGACTTTACTACATGAGACTCTGCCAAAAAAAAAAAAAAAAAAAAACCATAAATACTTTTAGGGCTTGGCAGCCATGTATTTTTCATTCAGTCTTATTAGCATGTTTAAACCTGCCTCTGGTTTGCCTTAGTCACTTGAGGAGTATTGTTTAAAATCTTGGGAGAAGTCTTGTTTAAAAGCCATTCAAGTTCCAAGTTGAGTTTGTTTAGCCTTGGTTTCTGCGGTTTCGGGTCTGACTGAAAGGGGAAGAGCTCTTTATACACGTGCAGTAAGTATGGATCTTACATCAGCCTGTCTGTGCAGAGGGACATGGCCTCCCCTGCGTTCCCTCTGACTGTCACGGGTAAGGCCTGTTTTTCTTCAGTGCTCTCATTTAAAAGGGTGACCTTGTATCAATTCATTTTACAAAGTCAGCCCAATCCGAAAGCAAAGCCTAACAGGACATAAAAAAAGAAAAAGAAAGAAAGGAAACAGTTACAACCATTATTTGATAGAATCAGCGATGTACAAAAATAATAGTCTGTGTTTAAAATAGGATTGTTCCAATGAGACAGGATGGATATTCTATGAAGAAACCCAACACTATTCACTACACTAACAAGGTAAAATCTATGGTTGCATCAATAGATACCCCCAAAGGCATTTGATGGAGTTCATCCTCCTTTTCTTAGTAAAGCTCTAAGGAAAATACTACTTTTAAAAAATTAAAGACTGTTTATCCTCAAGCCAGGACCAACAGCATTCTATAGTGATAAAACCCTTAAAGCTGTAAACTCTAACGGTCTTAGATAAAATTTAGCACAACACAATTGATGGGAGAAAAATGCAAACGACCTGAACACAAGAACTAAATCTGCACAAATTAAAAAAAAAGTCATGTGGTTTCAAAGATTCACCATTGTAAACCATAAAAAATCAAGTGTATAAATTCTATTCCATTTCAAACAGAGCCAAGAAAATTAGAAAAAAACAGTGGTGTGGAAGAATCAGACTTACCAGGTATTAAAACAGACTATAAAACCATTATGATAAAGCAGAAAGCTACTGTCTTAGAAATAGGAAGAAAATAAAGTGGAAAAGCCAGAGAGATGGCTAAGTGACTGAAAGCACTGGCCGCTCTTCCAGAAGACCCAAGTTTGGTTCCCTGCACCTACATGGCATTTCATAACTATCAGTAACTCTAGTTCTTGGGAATCAAATGTCTCAGGTACCCGGTACACACATGTTACACAGGCATGCAGGCAAAGTATTCATACACATGAAATTTAAAAACTAATTATCTTTATCAAAACTAGACTGGAAAAGGAAACGTAAATTTCAGATTTATGAGCTTAGTATGTACTGTTTGGTATCTGTAAAACTAAGCATCAAATGGGAGGAAAAATGCTGCATGAACCCTTGTATAAAAATATATTCCAGATGGTATTCAGACTAAAATGTGAAAAAATCAAACCATAAAGATATTAGAAGAAAATTTAGGAGGTCGTGCACATAAACTAGTGATTGAGATTTTCCTGATCAATACGGAAGATATAAAAACTTTAAAATAAATATATCACAAAGTTCCAGGGCATTACCAGAAATCATCCTGGCAGGTAGTCAAGAGGACATTTGAAAAAGCCACATGCTCCAAGGTAGAGTCCACACCTGAAGTAGTCCATAGAGAAACAAACCCATGAATATCATGCATCAAAGTTACAGTGACACTCTCCACCCACACATTAGTGATGTAATTGCTAATCAACGAGATGGCTATCAGCCATCATTCATGAAGAACTTCTTTGTGCTGTGGCTATATAAGCTTGTTATCTATCCTTCAGAGTTCATTCTTAATCGGACATTTATAGACTAGAATGTCTTTCCTTTCTTTGTGGTTGTTTCTTTTTATTCTAGCACCCCAGTGTCTGTACAAATGCTATTAGACTAGAAAAGATTCACTGGACAAAACTTGAGGGCCATAATACACACAGCAAGACAGACAGACAATCCCACTATATACCCCCTTAGGAAACTAGTTGAGTATTTGGCACAATTGCTAATTTTTGTTTGTCTTTTTAAGAGCGCTCTTACTCTGTTGCCCAGGCTGTTCCAGTGCTCCCCCCACCTCACACTCACAGACTCACTGGTCCCCCACCTCTGGCTCCAGAGAAGCAGGGATAGACGCACCTACTGCTACCACAGCTGAAGTGGCTTTTCTCGAACTGTCATTGTTTCTAAAATTCTCTTTTCACTTACATTAATTTATGTGTGTAGGGTGTGTATGTTTGTGTATGTGTATGGGCGTATAAGTGCCTCAGTGTGTGGAGATCAGAGAACAGCTTTTTGGGAGCTGGTTCTTGGCTTCCGTCATGTGGATCCAGGGATTGACTCAGGAGCAACACCTTCACTAGCTGAGCCGTCTGCTCGTCCCAACCAGTGGTCGTTGGTTATCTAGATGCAAACCACCATGCTCAGTGTGGGCTTCACTGCTGCTTTCTGCCCTGTACTGGCTGCTGTGTTTTACCTGATGCCTATAGAACCTGCCCCTGCTTGGTCACCAGACAGCAATTAACTTAAAGCAGCACAGACCATGGAATCGTAGAGAAAGGGACTATAATTTGATGGCAGTTAAGATAATCTTGTGTTGTATCTATCTCTATTCTTATTCTGTACCAAAATATTGAGACAAATTACTATTACAATAGCTCAACCATAGAAAAGCAAATAATTTTTGTGTTCTTTTTATACAAATGTCTTTGTGTTTTTTATATAAATTCTTATAATTTAGTATGTTTTATTAGAATCTTGTCTCCCACTTCATCCCTTTTTTTAAAGGGAACTTTATGGGTGCAGTCACCATTATTATCTTTGTTGTTTGGTTGGTTGGTTGAATGACTGTGCATTGTACATTGTGACTCTACTCTATTTGATTAATGATTGTGTACTGTAACACATTTATGACCTCCACTGTTGTTTGCTATTCTAATACTCTCTAAAAATAATTTGGACGTATTTTGTGGATTTTTAAAAATTACTTTCTATAAATTTTGACTCCTAAGGGAAAAAAAGTGTGGGCTGGAGATGCAGCTCAGTTGCAGAGCACAGATTTGGTATGTGCAAAGCTACATGGGTTGAAGCCCCAGTTCAAAAATACAAAAGGAAGAAAAGGTAGTTGTTAAGTTAAAGTTTCTTTCTTAGAGCTGCACTAACTCCCAGCAGTACCAGCTGTCCCTGAGTGGTAGGGTTTGAAGCCTGCCGTTATTTCCTGTGTTCTGTTCTGTTGTTTCTTGTGCTCACAAAGCAGTGTGATTTCTTTAATTGTATCATTTGTTTGTGTTCTTTTTCCATCTGTCCCCAAGTTCCTTAGTGCTGTTATAGTTCTGCTAAGTACGTTATATGATATTGCAGTTAGTTTTTATCTGTAGTTTCTCATGAATTTCTTTCTCAGTATTTGGCTTTCGTAAGCCTGTCTATCTTCCTACTGCACTTCTGTTTCTTGTTGAATTCATAGAAGGATAACCTTTCATATTAGATTTCTGTACTGTTTTCTTACTTTAACTTGTTAGTCTCCTGTTGCTCCATCTTGCTATGTGTATGTTGTTCAGGCTGGTCACAAACTCACTGTGTAGCCCAGGCTGGCCTTAAGTTCACACACCCCTGTCTTAACATCTGGAATCACAGGGGCATTCTTCTATGCCTAGCTATGCCTACCTTTACTTTTAAATTCTTAACTTGGTTATCTAAAGTTTAAATTGACTTGTAGCATAAACTGTGACTCAAGACAACTTTCCTTCATGTTGTTAAGTAGTGTTTTAAATGCATTAACAGAATGACTTGCGCCTACAATCCCAGAAATCTGAGGATTGCTGTAAATTTAGGTTAGCCTGGACTGTGCAGCAAGACAACATCTCAAAAAATTAAAGAGAGTATTCTGTTTTTTATTAATTGGTTTTCCTACTCCTAGTTACCACATGTTTTTTTTTAGTTATAAAAGTTTGATGCTATACTTCTCAGATTATATTATCTCATTGATCAGATTTGTTTTGTTTTATAACATTTTAATTGCTAGTTTTTCCATAATCCGTTCTTGTATTTGTTGGTAAAGTAGCCATAATCTTTTGCTAAATATTTTGAATTAGTTGGGGGAATACAAATTATAAATGTAGAGTATGTGACCAATATCTAGTCTTATTCTTTCTCTTCCATTTTTATTCAGGTACATTGGACACAACTACCTGGGAATATCCAGATGTCTGCAAACATTATTTTGGCTCCTTTGGGCAATGGTCAAGTCTCCTTTTTTCCTTAGTGTCTCTCATTGGAGCAATGATCGTTTATTGGGTGCTTATGTCTAATTTTCTTTTTAATACTGGAAAGTTTATTTTCAGTAAGTATCAATATAATTTTTAACAAAGTTACCCTCAAATATCATTGTAATATTTTAGCTCTAGCCTTTCATTTTTATATGTAAAGTATTATATAATCCTGGGTAATGTGCTTGATTCAGCTTTTGTATACTTAAGATATCAAATATCATATGTATAAGCATTAATTTTTTTACATAAATAATGGGTTTCATTCTGACATTTTCATAATGTATTTTTTTATCATATTCCGTTCTTGTTATGTTTTCTTGTTCTCCTTTACTCCCTTTAGCCACGCGTTCCCTTCTATTTTTATGTCTTTTTGTTTTTTGGTCACCCAGTGAGTTTCATTAGGGCTGCTTTCACAAACATGGGTGAAAATTGGTTTACTGAAGCACATGCACTTGAGCAATGTCTGCACCACTAACAGAGATGTCTCTCCCTCCCCATCAATGGTTAGCTCCATATATATATATATGTATATATATATATATATACACACATATATATATATGTGTGTGTATATATATATATATTCTCATGAAGGGGTGGGTCCCAAGAGCCCTTCCTCCTTCCGTGAAAATGTATTGACAAGCCCAGTCTTGAAGCTATTACATCTGTTGTTTTAAGTTCAAGATGACAAAACATGTCATTCCCAGAAATCAGTGCACCATTTGCCGCTAACTTCCTCTGTCTCCTTAGGGTTTTTCTGGTTCTCCTTCCAGAATGTTCCCTGAGCCTTAGAGAGGGTGTTATAGTTGTCCCACTTCTGACTGGGCATTCAGCAGTCACTTATTCTCAGCATTTTGGCCAGTTATGAGTCTCCGCAGTTACCACTGACCCCTGCAAAAGGAAAGTCTCTGACCAAAGCTGACTTCGGTGCTGTGTATGGGCATAAACATGGTTCTCTAGAAGGCAGTTTAACAGGCACATCATGTCCATTTAGCAGAACAGCAGCAGTAACTTCCACACCAGAGTGTGTGACCTCCCCAAATACATTAGCTTCTAAGAAGTGATATTCCTGCTAAATCTCCTATTAGTATAAAGCATTTCCACAACACGTTAGTACTGAAACAGAAAAATGTATGACATTCACTGGTACTTGTTGTTGAAGAATTGGATGTTTGAACAGTAAACCAATTTTACTCACTGAAACAGTAGGAGATGAAAGTTGAAAACAGTAGAATAATGAAATTTAAATTATATATTATTTACATACCTTTATGTGCCACAGAACTGTTACCTGCTCAAATCAGCTCTAGAACTCTGAAGAGGCTATTAACAACTCAGTTCAAGTGCTTTTTGTAGTATTTTTTTTAACTTGGATGGAGGACGTTCATTTTAAGGGTTTTTTTTTTTGGCATTTATTAGTATTGTGTATGGGTGTGTGTACATATTATATGGGTGGATGCACACATCCAGGGCACACGTGTGGAGGGCAAAGGAGACCTTGTAGGAGTATGTTCTCTCCGCCCACCACTTGTGTTTCAGGGTCAGATCTGATCAGATACTAACCACATATCACCATCATGCTGTAGACATCTTAGCAGAGCGTGTCCACTGTCATGGGTGAGTCTAGTCAGGGCTCTCTGTTTGGTTTTGTTTTTAATCTTACTTTCAAATTAGTCATTTTTAGTTTTCTGTTTGTTTGGTTTTTTTTGTTTTTCTTTGCTTTGCATCAAGGTCCTTGAGTCTTTTATATACATTTTAGAATCAACTATCTTGTCAGATTCTATAACAATATAATTAGATTTTGATTGAAGTTGCATTGAGTTTTTCAGTCACCATACCATAATTAATACTATTAGGCTATTGGCTTACGATTAATAAGAACTGCATTAGATTTATTGCTGTGGAAAGACACTGTGCCAGGACATTGAGCTTTTCTGTCCACGATCATAGGAGAGTTTAAGTCTCTGTTTACTGTCTCTTAAATTTTTCTTGATAAATTTCTTGATACATACTTGTGAGCACTTTTCTTGATACCTTAATTTGGTTTTCTAAATGTATTTTCAATTTAATATACAATACATACTTTTTTCAATACATACTTTTTGTTATTAAAACATTCAAACATGTACAAAATAAACAGACGAATATAAGGAATCCATGTTGGGTGGTGGTGGCGAACACCTTAAATCCCAGCATTCAGGACACAGAGACAGACAGATCTCTGAGTTTGAGGCAGCCTGGTCTACAGAGGGAGTTTCAAGAGAGCCAGAACTGTTACACAGAGAAACCCTGTCTTGAAAAAACAACAACAACAACAAAAGACAAAACAAACAAACAAAAAACAAACTAAGGAAACAGAATCCACGTGTTCCTGTCACTTATCTCTACCAGCTGTCAGCATTGTGCTGTCTAGACTAGTCTGCGACAGGATTGTCTAACTCTCCCACTTTACGAAAAATTAATATTTCTTGAGAACACTTTTTAGCCATTTTATTCTAATTGTCCCTCCAGTGAAGTTTTAATATCACAGATAGACCTTTTTATAAAGTGTTTATCTATCTGTGCATTATGTTTTTAAAAAGTAAGTTTTTTCCTCCCCTCAGGAATGAATTTTTAGTAATATTATCACATTCATTGAGAAACCATGTTCCTCACTCCTCTAATTCAAATATTGTTATAGCTATAGTTTTTTATTTTTTTGGTATAAAGCATGACCCTGTTTCAAAACAGACAGACAGACCGACCACACTGTTTACCCATCCACATACTCACATGCATGCTCAGGCATTGACGGCACACGCCTTCATCTTTTGTACGTCTTTCCATCTAACTCAGCAGTTCTTGCGGGAGTGATGATTACTGTACAGCCATAGCTTTGTAAAAGTATGGACTGTTCCCTATGACATAGCTTTGTAAAAGTGTGCACTGTTCCCTATGACATAGCTTTGTAAAAGTGTGCACTGTTCCCTATGAAATAGCTTTGTAAAAGTGTGCACTGTTCCCTATGAAATAGCTTTGTAAAAGTGTGCACTGTTCCTTATGAAAATGTTAGGTGATTTTCCAAATAGGCTTGGCCATGTGTGGTTGTTGGTCTCCCTTTTGGCATACTTGAGAACTTTACATAAAATGTAGCTGTACTGCTATAAATTAATTTAAGTATAGGGAAAAATTGTATCTATCTTCTTTACAGACCTTTTAAGTACCATTAATTCGCTCTTTCAAGTAGCTTCCTTTTTAAGCCCTGGATTTTGTAAATGTTTCCATATGGGTCTATGAAGTAAATAACATTATCATTCCAATGGGCAAAGAATACTAAAAATGAAACTATGTAACTAAGAAATAGTCTGGGGTCAGTGTACTCAATAATATTATATACAGTAAATAACCGTTTTCATGAACAGAAGACCTTAGGTGATGATGGGACCTGGCATGGTTCATTCATTGTGTAACTATATTTGTCTTTTAGATTTCATTCATCACATTAATGACACCGACACTATACTGAGAACCAATGACAGCAACCCTGGTAAGTGGTGTGGAATTCAGTTTGTTTCCTTGTCCCCAATTCTGCTCCCAAAACAATTTGAAAATAGAACGCATAACTCCAAGTTAGGTAAATGGTTGGGGGAAAAAATTGTTCTTCTTTTTTTTTTTTTTTAGAAAGTAATTTTATTAAATTATAAAAGTTTTCATTTCTGCCCCTCCTCCCAACACCCTCCCACTCCCCCCACTCCCTCTCCTCTTCCCTCTCCATCCCTAAGAGCAGTCAGGGTTTCCTGCCCTGTGGGAAGTTCAAGTTCCTCCCCCCTCCCTCCAGGTCCAGGAAGGTGAGTATCCAAACAGACTGGATCCCCAAAATCCAGTATATGCAGAGGAAACAAGTCCCAGTGTCATTGTCAATGGCTTTTCAGAAAGACTCCGGGCCAGCCACATTCAGAGAATCTGGTTGGATCACGTCCTCGTTCAGTCCCAGTCCAACTGGCCTTCGTGAACTCTCATTAGATCAGTCCCCTTGTATCAGTGGGTGATCGCATCCCTCACAGTCCTGATTTCCTTTTTCATTTTCTTCCTCCTTCTGCTCCTCATTTGGACCTTGGGGGGCTCAGTCCAGTGTTCCAATGTGGGTCTCTGTCTGTATCGCCATCCATCGTCGGGTGAAGGTTCCCTCTGGTCTTGCCTTCTTTGCTCACGTTCTCTTTCCTTCTGCTTCTCGTTTGGGCCTAGGGAGTTAAGTCCAGTGTTCCAATGTGGGTCTCTATCTCTATCTCCATCCATCGCCAGATGAAGGTTCTATGGTGATAAGCAAAATATTCATCAGTGTGGTTATGGGCCAAGGCCGGTTCAGGCACCCTCTCCTCTGTCCAGAGAACAATCTGGGGATCTCTCCTTGGACCTGGGATCCCATTTATAAGGTTTTTCAAGCAAACGAACCTAAGAAACAAGCAGGTGTGGCCATTCTAATTTCCAACAAAATTGACTTCAAACTAAAATCAATCAGAAGAGATGGAGACGGACATTTTATACTCATAACAGGAACAATTCATCAGGAGGAAGTCTCAATCCTGAATATCTATGCCCCTAATATAAAGCCTCCTACTTATGTAAAAGAAACACTTCTAGAACTCAAGGCAGTCATCAATTCACAGACACTAATAGTAGGAGACTTCAACACTCCTCTCTCACCAATGGACAGGTCAGTCAGACAGAAACCTAGCAGAGAAATAAGAGAATTATTGGAGGTATTGAAAAAAATTGTTCTTATATTCCTGGGTTGCTATACAATTATTGGTGGTAGGTTTCAAAATAGATTTATTTATTAAGAATAAATGCTTAAGTATGATTTGGTGGCAGTGCATCTGCATGGCATGTGGGAAGCACTGGGTTCTAGCCTTGGCACCATAAAAGAATAAAGACTAAAAAGAGCATGGAAATACGCCCATGAGAGAGGGTGACAGGCTGGCAGCCTGAACTTGACCCACGGACCCCCAGGGCTGAAGGAGGAAGTGCTCCTTCAGGTTGCCCTCTGACCTCCACAGACTGTGGCCTGTAAATGCACAACAAACAAGTTACAAATAAGCAAATGCTAAGAGAGAAGAAAGGAGGCAAAGAGGGAGAGAAGACAGGCTTTCTCCAGACCCCTGGTTCTCAGAGGTTAACAGACTCTTAGGCTGCCGGAAGTGGGGTAACTGAATCATTTTGGATTGTTAAACTCCAAATTCTTCAGTTTTTCACTGGTGATCGGGGATTTCTGCTTTTAATTCCCTAACACATAGATTTTTTTTTCTTATTAAAAAAGGGGGTCAGTGAAATGGCTTAATAAGCAAAGGCGTTCCACCACCACGCCTGGTGACCTGAGTTCAGTCCCAAAACCTACATGGTAGAAGGAGCGGACAGAAGCTGACAAGTTGTCCTCTGACCTCTGCAAATGTGCCGTGATGAGCATACACACACCCACATAATAAAGCTAATCAAATTTTTAAGAGAAAATGCCTATTATTTGATCTTTCTATGGTCATTACTACCATACAAAGATACGGTACGGTAGTGACTATACCTGCATGGTACGTCTCATATTACTGAGCTGACCATAAGCCCAATATTTCCTGTCCAGCAATCGGGCCAAGGAACATTTTATGGGATCTTTCTCTTGTTCCTAATACAAGGGTATGCTATCTCAAAAGTCTTTTTTCATACTCCCTTTCACTGTTTATATTCAGGTGAAAGATTCCTAAGGTTCCTCTGTAACCCTTTCCAGAAGTTGGTGCTAAGAGCTAGCAGGCGCAGTCCCGGGCACAGTGACTCTGGCTTGGGTCAGCCGATCTCTGACATGGCGTTTGTTTGCCTTTGCAGTGATTTGTCCAAGCGCTGGGAGCAGTGGCCATCCTGACAACAGCTCCATGATTTTCTACAATGACACACAAGTCCAGCAGTTTGAGAGGTGGTGGAGTAAGTCCAAGACAGTGCCGTTCTACCTCATAGGGCTCCTCCTGCCACTGCTCAATTTCAAGTCTCCTTCGTTTTTTTCCAAATTTAATATCCTAGGTAAGGTACTACTCAGAAGTATGAGTGGGGAGAGTCACCTCCCCAGCTGTGCGAATCTCCTTAGTCTGTTCATTCATGTGATATTTTGCTTTTGCTTTTTGTTTTTCTATAAAGTTTGGCACAGAAAAAATGGACACAACCATTTCAGGTTCCTTTTGCCATTTCAGGGTTGGTTTTCTTGATATGAATTACTCGGTTTCCCATTCTAACCTTCTTGAATAACTCACTTCCCATGAGAGTACAGCTAGAGGAAATAAACTAAGGTCTGAGGAGGAGACATCAAAACGGCTACTATAGGAATCCTCAGTTTTAAAGTGTGAAAACATAGGGAGTTCCTGTGTTCTATGTAAGAGTATTGCATAGCCAGGCATGGTGACACAACCAGTAATCCTAAGCACTTGGAAGACAGAGGCAGGAGCTGGAGTTCAAGGTCATCCCTGGCTACTGAGATGATGGAAGGGAGAGGGTAACTGCACAGAACTGTCATCTAACTAAACATAAGAGATCATTGTGCAACTAAGGCTTTTTTTTTTCGTTCATTCATTCATTCGTTCATTCATTCATATAGTCTAAGAGATCAAATCCAGGGCTTTAAAAACAAACAAAAAGACAAGCAGGGCCTTGTGTTTTCTGGGCGGCAAGCTCTACTGCTGAGCTCCACTCCAGCCCTAGGTTGGCTTCTTAGGTTTATTCTGAGTTTGTGCCCTTCCTGAGTTTTTGTTTCTTAGCCCAGTGGCCTCCAAAAGGAATAGACCTCTGTGCATGTCTCCTGTCTTGCAGAAATCTCCAAAGGAATATTTTGACCCTACTTAATGACGAAAAGACCTCCAGTGAAAGCTCAGATCTGGTTAACTAAAGGAAATCTGGAGATAGCACTTACAGAGACTTGTTGACTTCGGTCTGTAGGGTTTTACCTCCCCTCTGAAGCTCTCCCAGTAGGCTGTTGCAGCGCACAATAGTCAGACTCTCCATCATATCAAGGAAGTAGGAGGAACAACACCAAAATGTAGCCAGGTTCCCAGGAGATGAAAGGAAGGGGTAGAGAGGTCTCTCCAGCCTGTCTCCCTCAGCAGGACGCTGTAAGGCAGCGTGAACACGGAGAACACCAGCTGTTACATAAGCCCGGCCTCCTGCCTTCATCTTTCTGAATCAGCTAATCTCCAAACCCACAGTCCGGTTTATAGAGCTCTCTGTGGTTTCCTGACTCGCTGCAGACTTTCCAGTGGAACAAGTCTTTCACAAGCATGTGAACTTACAGAAGGTTTGCTCAGCGAGACCCCGTGGTCCTCAGCCTTCCAACCAGGCTTCAGGATGTTCTGCTGTTGTCCTTCCTCAGAGCAGTAGCTTAGAGGCTTTCAGAAGCAGGTTTGGTTGTCCGCAACGACTGGGTCTCCTTCCTAAGGAGGAGTGATTTGGGTTAGAGATGTAGCTGACCAAGTGAGCACTTGCCTAGTAGTGTACCAACAAGGTGCTGAGTTTCATCCCCAATACTACAAAAATACTACAAAAAACATTTTTTTTTAATTAAGAGATAACAGTCCTCTAATTTCTACACCGCTAACAATTCTGTGTGGCAGAGCTACTTGCTCATTTGTTCACCTTTCTCGAATGTTTACTATTTCTATCCTTTTGCTTTCTTATCTGTTCAAATTAACTTGGCAGACTTTTCCAGTGTGTTGGGCGTCTCCCAATACCTAAAACAAAATAAGTTGGTTCCGTGTTTTCTTCTCTTATAAAACTGACAGTTTTGTAATGGATTCTGCTTGTTGCTGCCACTGAATTCCTAAGTTAACTAAACAGTTCCCAGTCAGTGAGCATGCCTGAGGTTTCTTAGCCTTACTACATATGTTTTGATTCATTTTCTGATAACTCAAAAGGCTTATTTTTATTCTTTAGAATCTAGCTATTTTTTTTAAAAAAAATAAGATTAACAAAGGTAATTCCTCCAGTCCTGATTTTTAAAGCGGTCTGTAAGGTACACAAAGATGATCAGTAGTTTCTTGTTTGTTTGTCTGTCCCTTACAGGCACAGTATCCGTCCTCTATTTGATTGTCCTTGTTACCTTGAAGGCTATTCGTTTAGGATTCCATCTGGAATTTCACTGGATTGTGCCAACAGAATTTTTTGTACCAGGTGAGTCTGTGAAAATAAGAAATAATTAAATAACAATAATGTGTTCTTTAAGTTGATTCCTAAGAAACATTAGTCTAAAACAGGTAATGCAAGGTTAATTTATTGCTCTCACCTGCCAATTCCAGCATTTGGGAGGCTGAAACAGAGGACTACCTTGAGTTCTAGGCCAGCCTTGGCCATAGAGTGAGATACTGCCTCAGAAAAACAAAAATGATTAAATAAAACAAAACAGGATTATATTTGGTATTTCTGCAACTAGGGATAACCAGGGCTCTATCATTTTTGAATTGACATTTGAAGTCCATTTAATTTATAATGCACTTGAAAAATCAAAAACTTATTCTCTAGACTTTTCTAAGGAACATATGCTTAGAATATCAGAGACGTAGAGCATTGTTATACATGTTGGTAATACTGCTCATTAAAACCATTGTTCCTGGCTGGGCATGGTGGCACACCATGCTTTCCAGTACTCAGGAAGCAGAGACAGGTAGGATTGCTGTGAGTTCCAGGCCAAACCCTGTATCAAAGACAGACAGAGAGACCCTGTATCAAAGACAGAGAGAGAGAGAGAGAGAGAGAGAGAGAGAGAGAGAGAGAGAGAGA